TTTATCTATGTAAAATATGAGTGGTCTTAGTTTTGTTGTTGTTGTTGTTGTTTTCTTTTCTTGCTTTTTTTTTTTTAAGGCTCAGTGGAAAATATTATGAACTCATTTCGGACCTTAGGTCATGGGTTGTGACCCGGGAAGAAGTGAGTATACACCAGAAATCAAAGGAAATAAAAGAATAATAATTGATTAAAATATGCATTAATTGATTAGAGATGTGTGTATTTTCTCTCTTTTTCCCTTTCATAAAATCTACATTTCGTCTGATATTAAGGTTTTTCTGAATTCCGGACCACTAAAGAACCATTTTCTTCTTTCTTTTTTTTTAAATCGTTCTGTCCACACTCATTCCCAGTTTTTGTAACAGGAGTAGAGGTTTATTCCTTGTTTCCTGTATCGGATTGCGTTTCCGGTTACTTCTAAAGATGTCTCATTCTCTTTCACCCAGTGTCCCCTTGCGTCTTAGTGGCATTATCGCCTTACTTGGGGTGAATTGATTTTTTTTAAAAAAACTCATGATTTGACGAAACAAATTTTAGGTAAATAATTACAAAATAATTTGCTGAATGATTCGGTTTCATTTTTGTTTGTGTTCCTACGCCTCGGATTATTTATTAACCGAAATATCATCAAGTATGGCTTTCCACAACGTCCTATCTTTTGATGTTCTAAATAACTTTTGATTATTTACCATCCCTCATTATACTTGCTCTGTCACCCATTCCCACAAATTAAGTCTTATTTAGTTATTACTAAACCTGTTTCAACTGCATGTGTGCCTGCTAGCAAAACTAGGGATCGAACACCCAATTGTTACGTACCAAATAGTCTGATTGAAAACGCAACTAACAATGATTGGTTCAAGCAGTAGTAAGAGAGAGAGAGAGAGAGAGAGAGAGAGAAGACAAAATCAAACAAGATATGGACAGCGAAAGAACAATCTACCTCTGTAGATTAAATAAAGGATTCAGCTCCCAAATCCGTGAAAGTTATAGAGATCAACAGACAACTTTAGAAGGCCAGAGGTCACAGCGGGTAAATGTTGTGTTAGTAATAAAAAAAAATAAGGAAGTTTGTCTGCAAATAATATAAATAATGATAACTTCACATCCCAGAAATTTAGAAAGAAACTAGAAAAATCAGTCGCATATAAACTTAAGGAAAACAAAATAAAACAGCATTTAAATACTTCCTATATTTACAGTATTTACATTAGTCGGACTATTGTCCTCATCTTTGTCGCCATATTTGTCACAACGTTTCGGCCGTTGTACGCTCCGGCCTTCTTCAGGTGGTTGGAATTTCGAACTGAACCCTTTATTTCGAGACCTTTATTTTCGACCCTTTATTTGTAGACTGTTCTAGTTCCACGTTTGATGGATGTCCTGCTAATTTTCCCTGAAAGTTCTCCACTGCCTTAACCAGGAATTGAACTCACCTTCTTTGGGTCTGTCACTGGATCTAACCAACACCTTTATGCACTGTGCCATGTGTCCTTGAGGACATCTGGGTATGAACTTCTGAGTATTATAAACCTAATGTTTTCAGCATCATTTTTACCAGTGCTCATATTGCAATTTGCTGTTATTATTATTGTATGTCTTTACCAGAGTTCATATTGCAACTTTGTTATCATTGCTTTTCTCTGGCACTCCTTATTACTGGTTCCCATATTGTATTTATTTCTATGCTTGGTCGGCTCAGGAGATTTTTGTGGCCTATGGCAACAAAGATGAGGACAATAGTCCGACTAATGTAAATACTGTACATAATACCTCATCTCAGAAATATAGACAGACTTCCTATATTTGTTCGACATGTAAAAAGTTCATCACGAGCAACGAAAAATAGATTCATTACTAAAATCCGAAGAAAAAAAATCACGCGTAGATCGAATTTAACCTTTAACATCGCTTGCGAAAGCAAACGTACTATGTTTGGCGATATTTAAAAGAAATTCATGTTTTTCTTAAACTACTTAAACATGAAAAAACTATGTATGCACAACGCTATAGTGAGTAATTGGCGCGTTTGAATGACGCTTTGGAAAACTTCTTTCTAGCCAAAAAAATATCAATTTCCTTATATATTTAGCGCCTCCCTAAAAATGGTAAATAGTGAAAAATCTTATTAATGGAATAAAATCAAAACAAAAAGTAATTTCAGACATATAAACCCCCGCATAATATAATACGAAAGGAAAACTATTTTTACCAAAGCGTTTCGTCCTCTGATGAGCTATATCAAAATAAATGTAAGGCTTTTTGAAATGTATTTATAAATAGAGGTAAAACTATCGTTAGGTTTTCAAAATGTTTAAATTTAAGGACGCTCAAATATATTGTAAAGGATAACTGTGAAAATCAAAGTAAACTATGCAAGAATTTTCCTTGATTTACGCAATTAATCTTAATCTGGCGCGGGTTAAGTCTGTGATTCAGTAGGCGCTCAATTCACGGGGCCTCCCTGAGAAAATACCCGTTGATCGCGATAGGTGAAAATTCAGGACCCGCTCGGTGATGAAACATCGCGAGTTTGTTTTTCGAGCCATTGAATATGATCAGCTAATTTTTCTCCCGACCGAGCTGTTAAAGCTAGTTCAGTGTAGAGTTGCCAAGCTCGGGTCACTTGATAACACTATCAGTAGATCTGTTTAATAAATCCTGCTTCATCACGGGTATCGCAAAAATATATATGTGGTTAATTCAATATGAAAACATAAAAAAAATATGACGCGTTTGCACACAGTAACAGACGGACGCGCGTGCGCACATTCAGTGAGAGACTAAGTTTAATCTGCTTGTGCCTTAATGTAAGAAGACGTTTAAAATGCAGATTATAGAATTCGAAATAGTCGAATATAAAAGATCCATTATAACAAAAATACATCGGAAACTGGGAGTTTTTTTTCCCTCAACGTTTCTATTTTTTTCCTTTCTTGTCATCCGATCCCATCTTCACCTTTGCGCCTTGTCAGAGAAAATATCCTCTCATCAGCTATAATCCACTCGCTGAGAGACCTTATCTTTTCCATTTTACACGACCCATTGCTTTCAGAAAATATGTTTTCATCTAAAAAGATAGCGAGGCAGAAATAAATCTTCCTGCTTGTTGGCGATACTTACTGTTTTTTTTCTAAAGAAGCGAACAGACACCGTGCCACCACCTACACAGGTAAACAGCAGGTAGCGACATCTACAGGCATGTAAGTATCCTTTGCTTCATAAACCGTGACAATTTCTTGTTACCTCTGCTAATAAAGAGCAGGCTGTTTTCATCATCATAGTATTAACTGCGATCCTGTTTGGTGGCTGAGGTAATCGCGTGTTTTCTCACCAGCCGCCAGAGCGAGTTCACGTAAAAGGTCAATATTCAGAATAATGTTCGACCGATTTTCTTTAGAGAAACATTGATGTCCCCACATGAATATCTGTTTTGATCTGCATTTTAAATTGGAAGGTTTTTCTAAATTCAGCTCGGGTTTAAATTGTACTTCTAAAAAATTCTTTATCTGTCGGTGATGGCGCCAAATCAGGTTTTAACAGAATACTATAAGTTGAGCAAAACTAAGTAGAAAAAAAATGAAGTTTGCTGTGATAAATGCAGGCCTGCATTTCGCAGGTTTAATTCACAAAACATATCTTAATTACTGAACTACTGTTTTCTGCAGAGAATGTTAAGAAGCAGAATAATAATAATAATAATAATAATAATAATAAGAAGAAGAAGAAGAAGAAGAAGAAGAAGAAATTTATCTATGTAAGAAAATGTATGTAATCTTATGATGTTTTTTTTTATAAAAACAAAATGATCAGTAGAAAATCTCATGTCGCCATTACTGACATTAGGTCTCTGGTTGGGATCCGGAAGGAAATCTGTATACAACAGAAATCAAAGGAACTAATAATAATAATAATAATAACAACCAATTTCGCAGAGATCGTGATCAACGACTTCAAGAACAGGATGCGCTTTCTTATTGAATTTGCAGTCGCTGCTAAAAACTATGAAAATAAAGGACACTTGAAGTGAAAATCTCAAGAATATGGCACATGAAGACATCAATAATTATATTTGTAGTTGGAACCCTCGGATTGATTGGAAAAGATATCGGATTGATAGACACAGTGATGGGATTCTTGGTAGCCCATGCTTTAAAGAAATACAAAAACCTGTAATCGCAAGTACAGGTCACACATTAAGAAGAGCCTTATCTATGTATAATAATGTGTATGATCTTGGTGTTTTTTGCTGCTTTTTCTTTTGAGAAAAAGGATCAGTGGAAAATATCATGAAGCCATTTTTGGCTTTAGGTCTCTAGTTTCCGGAAGGGAATATATATATATATACAACAGACATTCAAGTAAATAATAATAATAATAATAATAATAATAATAATAATAATAATAACTACAAATAGTCAAATTTTAATTATTTTGCAATTTGAATTTTCTGATGAATCGCAATTCTTAAGTTAATGATTGAATGAAGTCCTTGCGAATTGTACGACTATGAAATAGATGTGGAAATTCCTCTTTGAATATAATAGCTTAACAATAACAAAATATTGCAATATCACACGCATGAACGCAGGTCATTTTTTTAAAGAAAAAAGAGGTTACAAATGAAAAGATTTAAAAAAGAAACACATTTTTCTATTACACTGAAGCAGACGTTAAACACATGAGAGTCTCCGAGATTTTCTCTTTCCTTCTCTCCTTGAAACCAAACAGCGTCTCTTATTTCTTTTCCGTCTTTCCTCGCTATCAAAACGGAATAGCCCATTATTTATGAGGTATTGTCAGGGAGTGACGTACCTGCCCATTAAGATGGTAGCTGTAGTGAAGAATTATTATTATTATTAGTAGTAGTAGTAGTAGTAGTAGTAGCAGTAGTAGTAGTATTACTACTACTAAAAATAACACCTGCTTGTTTTCTTGTCAAATATCGATTGCAGCAAAGCTATTTTTCTAAAATCGATACTTTATTATTGCCAAGTATTACACAAGGCGCTTCACGTAAAGCAAGTCATTCGAAAATCCATAGAGTTCGACCTCTACAAAAGGTATGGAAAAGTGGTGGAGGACGAAAGAAAGATGTGGAGATGAGGGTGAACGGTAAAGAGAAATAGAGACAGAGCAATCGATAGACGTGGAGCTAAATGCCAAGAGCCAAGAGCGACAGACGCGGAGGAAAGAGAGAGAGAAAGACAGGGCGATAGACGCGGAGGAAAGAGAGAGAGAAAGACAGGGCGATAGACGCGGAGGAAAGAGAGAGAGAAAGACATGGCGATAGACGCGGAGGAAAGAGAGAGAGAAAGAGGGCGATAGACAGGGCGATAGACGCGGAGGAAAGAGAGAGTGAAAGACATGGCGATAGACGCGGAGGAAAGAGGGAGAGAAAGACAGGGCGATAGACGCGGAGGAAAGAGAGAGTGAAAGACATGGCGATAGACGCGGAGGAAAGAGGGAGAGAAAGACAGGGCGATAGACGCGGAGGAAAGAGGGTGAGAAAAGCATAGATAGATAGATGTGGAGGCCATAGTGAGGAAGAGAGAGAGGCAAAGCGACAGACGTGGAGGAGAGAGAGAGAGAGAGGGGGGGAGAAAGACAGCGATAGATAGTGCTGGAAACGGGAGTGAGGGGAAGAGAAGCACAACAATAGATAGACGTAAGGACAGGAGTAAGCGAGAGAGAGACATACGCAAAGGAGAGAGGCAGAGAGACAGCGATAGATAATTGTGGAAGCAAAAAAGGAAAAGAGCTATATATAGACATTGATGCCAGAATGAGAGAGAGAGAACAATAGATAGTCGTGGAAGTGGGAGTCAGAGGAAGAGAGATACAGTCATAGATAGATGTGGAGGCCAGAGTGAGAGAGTGAGAGAGAGAGAGAGTAGAGAGAGAGAGAGAGTAGAGAGATAGCAATAGATAATCATGGGAGTTCGAGGAAGAGAGACAGAGAGATAGACGGGGAGGCATTAGTGAGATAAAGACAACAATAGATAGTCGTGGGAGTAAAAGGAAGAGAGACAACGATAGATAGACGAAGAGGCTAGTGTGAAAGAGAAAGACAGGAATAAATAGGTGTGGGAGTGAGAGTAAAAGAGACAGAGCATAGAGTCAGAGGAGCGATAGATAGTCGTGGATGCGAAAGTGTGTGTGAGAGAGAGAGAGAGAGAGAGAGAAAGAAAGAACGATAGAAAGAAATAGAGGCAACGGAAAGAGAGAGAGAGAGAGAGAGCGGTAGGAAGTAGTGGAGGCAAGGACGAGAGAGAGAAAGATTCGGAGGTGGAGAAATGAACATGAGACCTATTTTCGGAGAAATTAATAGTTTTTTTTTTGTTTTTTTTTTCAACACTTTTCTGTCGTTGATAAATTCATGTCGTTCATACCTTTAACCCTGAATAAAAAAAAAAAAATGGTCCCCACGGCTTGCTTCCATACTGGTGAAACCGTCTATTAAATTTTGGTTGAACATAATGATTTAGAAAGCGCTGAAAGAACCAAATTATTTTAATCAGCTCCAAGAACGATCTCTGAAGACGTATTCGGAAATGATTGACGTAAAGTCACCAATTTGCTTGTTTCTAAGATTATTGTGTTTTCAAAAGGTCAACCACGTCGAGAGTATTTAATCAATTTCATTTGTTAATGAGAATGTCTCGTCTAATTTTAGACCAAAATTTCTTTCTGTGAAAAATTTAAAGATACAAACCAAAAAAAAAAAATCCTAATGAAAATTTTCTAGCATTATTCTAGTCTTTTTTCTTCTTACACAAGTGATTGTTATTTTCAACTAATTTTTTCTCCCCATGTTTGTTGCGTTTTATTGGACCTCAAAAAGACTCCCCACCCCATTTAAAAATGCTTAAAACTGTAAAAAGCAAACTACATAAAATAAATACTGACAAAAAATAAATACTACAAAAGGTCGTGGTTGACTAACCATTTTCGCAGATCATTGTGAGTTTGATTCTCACCACGTGCCCCATATTGTTGTTTTGTGTCGAACCAATTTCTGTGGCTCAGTGTTGGGTAATGCTTATAGAATGAAACTCGTTGACATTTACTACTGAGTAGCGAGTTCTATCCTCTCTGAAGGCACCATGCTTATGTCTTTGTGCTGAAATTAAGCTACGTGATTAGCAATTCCAAAGGTAATTGTCAAATCTCCACAAATCATTATCAAAATGGGAACAATACGGTGTTTACTCATTCCCCCACGAGAATGAGATGTGATACAAGCTCTTTTTAATGTGGGGACCCGAGCGCGTACACCCGGGCAGGGACAAAAATTCCCCACAACCCCCGCAACCGTCGGTTGCGCTGACCTCGATGCAAGCACCGATCCCTCCCTCTTGAGCAATGTGAGGGCGCGGCCTCGGGCAGCTGTTCCCCAGGGCTGGGCACCTCTTCAGTATAATTTTTTCAGTTGCCCCTCCTGTTCTTTGACAGAGAAGCCCCTGCCAAAGACGCCTGCGTTAAAATCTCTCCAAAGAGGGATTTATGCGCAAGTGCAATTTATAAAATGTGAACAATACAAATACAGAAGGATGTAGACCTAGGTGTTATAGACTACGCACAAGCTTTCGATAAGGCACGCCGGGAAGAACTACTTGAACTGCTAGGGAAATTTGATTTATTTGGCAAAGATATTATAATTATCCTGATATTTTACTGGAAACAAACAGCCTCTACGCGGATAGAAAAGTAATCGTGCATGTAGACAAAAAATAGAAAGGTGCTTATGACAAAGCTGTGTTTTCTCGCGGGATTTGTTTAACTTTTACAGCGAGGAGATCCTAAGAGAACTAGAAGTCCTACCCGGATTTATTATTGGTGGGTACAATACTTAACAACATAAGGCATGCAGATGACACTTATTAAAGAAAAGCGAGATAAAAGAACTGCCAACTGTAAGAAGACAGAATGTATGGTTGTTATCAAAAAGGATATCTTAAGATGTGAGCCGCGAATTGGAGATTTCAAAATCAAGCAAATGCAGTAATGTAACTATCTGGGAAATATTAAATCAGACGACGAAAAGTGTAAAGGCGCATTGTAATAGAGAATGATGCCTTCCAAAAGCTAAATCAAGTAATAAAAAAGAGAAAAATTTAGTTTTTAAGAAAGAAAAGAGTGCTGAACTGCTATAATATCCATCCTCGTGTATATAGCAGTGAATGCTGGACTATTTCTTCACAGGAAGTTTTAAGGAAACTGGAACCGAAAAGGTCACTTAATATTGCAATCAAAGAAAGAGACAGTTGAAATTTCTACGACACATAGGAAGGCTAAGGAGGAAGAGGGAACCAGCGAGTAACCTACATAAAAAAGCTTTGGGGACAAACAATAGAGCTACAAAGAACAGGAAGTTGTGGAGGGCCACGATCACTCACATCCATAAGGCGGCATGAAAAGAATATCTGCCGACTCCAGTGAGAAGTGTTCAAACCTAACTAAATTAATTCATTTGTTTTTTTTACGGTTTATCAACTTTTTGCAGGTTATTCAAAGCCAGAACATATTTTTAGATTGTAAGAAATTTTTGGAGATAATAATGATTTACTGATACAAGTTCTACTAATTAACCCATAGCTGGGGGAGAAGATGTGGATGCAACCGTTTCCAAAGGAATTCGAATTCAAATCGCCGATTTCCTGTTCCGTGATGTTATCCATTACGCCACCCACACATCCATCTTTACAGCACCTACGAAGAGAAAAAAAATCCAGTGCCGTGCACATATCCGTATAAGTGTCATTTTTAGATATCTGTTTATATTTCAGAGATGAGCTATTTATAAGATTCTTACAGCACAATATTGTAACTGTAAACCTTATTTTAATCACAGCACTAAATATTTAATTTCTTGAAAATTATATTTACCCGCTATAAAAATTAGGTTAAACTTGAAAACTAATATTTTATTATAAAAAAATGTATTTTTCCGATATCAGTTTTTCTTCATTTTTACGGACATATCTCTGAACAGGTTCATTTTCAAGTAGATGTAAGTTTTACAACGGAGCCAGTCTAGCGTCCCTGAAGTGGGATTTCGATTTAGAATGTACGTATAATGTCAAACTAGATCCTGTCTGCCATTGTGACATTGAAATGTTCATAATATGCAATCAAGGTTAAACAGAACAAAATTTTCCTTACCAAACTTCTCGAATTTTCACGTAACATATCGTCCATGGCTTATAATACGATTATGCGATAATCTTTTACATTTTTACCTTTATTTGTATTCTTTATTTACAATTAGCCACAAAAAAGTCATAAACTAATGTCCACGATCACTTCCATGCTAACTCCATAAATCAAAAGTACTTACAGCAGTTTGTTGAGATTATGATCCCAAAGTAGTGACACTTTTTTCCCCAATGAAGAGAATGTAATTCATTTATATAATATTGGCTTTGATATTGTATTGACAATGGTTCGGCTTGCCATCTGTCAAATATGTAATTCAATACTTTGTCGTTATACTATAATGAGCCTTGAATAAAGTCTCGGATTATAATAACGTAGTAATGAGATTACATTGCAATTTGACTTTCTTTTTTATTTAACTAAAACAAGGAGAGAAAGAAATCAATTAATTGGAGAAATATCACAAAATAGACATTCTTTTTTTTCTATTTTTTTCAGTAATTATTTCTAAGCTTTACTCATGTAATCACTTTATTGAGATTTTATTCTATTTTACTGCATCCGTTTCTCCCTATTTCTTTCACCTCCTCTTACTAATTCCCACTTCATTCATTCAATATTATTCACGTCTCTTCTCGCTGTTTTTTCTTTTTTTTTTTTTTTGATATTGTTTCTTTATTTTCCTCTCACTTTTCCCCTTTTTTGTGATAATATTTTTCTTCCTTTTTTCTGGCACTGTCTTCTTTTCTTTTCTTCTCTTCTCACTATTTTCCCCTCTTTTTCTCAGTTTGTCGCTGTCCCTCTCACTGTTTTTCTCTCCTCCCACTGTTTCTTTTTTGATATTGTTTCTCTATTTTCCTCCCACTTTTTTTTGTAACACTGTTTTTCTCACTTTTTTCTGGCATTGTCTTGTTTTCTTCGCTTCTCACTGTTTCCCCCTTGTTTATCGTTCCCCTACTCACTGTTTTTTCTCTATATCTCTTTTTTTTTTTTTTTTAACACGGTTTCTTGCTTTTCCTATCACTGTTTTTTCACCCACTCTTTCTTTTTTTATTCTCACTGCTTTTCTCCTCCCCTTCATCTCTATTTTTTTAAAATAGATTTTGTCACTATTCCTTTCTCTATCTTTCACCAAACTCTTTCTCATTGATTTCACACGGTTTTTCTTTAACCTTTTTCATTCTCTAACAATTTATCTTTCTTTGTACTTTCTATCTCTCCATTTTCATATTTCTTACACCTTTTTCATCCTCTTTCTCTTACCTGTCTCTTTCTCTTACCTGTCTCTATCGTTTTCATCAAATTCTTAATTTCTTTCGCATTCATTTTTTTTATTCGGTTTTCTTATATTCTATTTTAAAAAAAATTCTTCCTTCACTTTAACTAACACACACACACACACACACACACACACACACACACACATATATATATATATATATATATATATATATATATATATTTAATCATTAAATATTTCGTGTTTTCTATTCTCTTTTTTTTCCATCTTTCCTGGTTCTCTCTGAAGCTATTTCTAATTTTCTCTTTGACTTCTCCAGCCCACCTACACACACACACACACACACACACACATATATATATATATATATATATATATATATATATATATACACACACACACACACACATATACGGGTGCGCGCGTGCGCTCCTCTCCATTCTTGTTGACAGCTGTGACATTGAAGACATGGAAGTCAGCTTTTTATGGCGGGTGTCAAATATCTTTAATATCTTTACTGAAAATATCTACAACAGTCAAGTCCTTCAACAGAAGATGACGTCATATTTTTTTTTTTTTTTTTCTCCCATTGAAAGAAAAAACTCCTATTTTCACCTGTCTTATGCAAACGCTATGTAATTTAAGCTTCGGATTATAAACAGTCGATGAATGAAATGTCTGCATACGGGTCGGGAAAGCAAGAAGGGTCATGAATTGAATTAAACACCGAGAAATCCGATACCATGAAAAGTTATTTTCAGGAACGTCACCAACCTGCTCATCATTTATTTTAGAATGAAAATATTTTTTCGAAGAATGTTGTTTATGCTGAGCTGTGTTATGTCTAATCGATATATATATATATATATATATATATATATATATATATATATATATATATATATATATACGGGGGTGAAGACGAACAAGAAAAAAGTAAAGAGGAAAAATTATTCTTAGCCAACGCGTTTCGGGATCTGATGGACTTTATCAAGTCGCTGATGACGAAACACGTCGGCTAAAGTATAGTTTTCCACTTGTCTCTTTTATTCATATATATATATATATATATATACATATATATATATTATAATTTTATCATATAGACAAAGATGCAACTTCGTTTCAGTGCATTTCAACTGCACTTCGACGTGTGAGAATCGAAAATGTTTATCATTTTCGATGCTTACCGTCGAAGTGCAGTTGAAATGCACTGAAACGAAGTTGCATCTTTGTAGCGAGTAAAATGGTATTGTCTATATTTAAAATTATAATAAATAAATAATTATCGCTCTACTATCGGTATCGAGTCCTCTTTTGGATTAATGCTGTGAACGCTGGAATTTATATATTAATTTCCTTCTCATCGACATATATATATATATATATATATATATATATATATATATATATATATATATATATATATATATATACACACACACACACACACATATATATATATATATATATATATATATATACGAGAGTGAATCAGGAAAGGTCATACAGTGTCAAACTTCCAATAAATGAATTATGCCTATCTAAAGAGTTGCACATTCTTGTTCATCTGGCTTCTGATGGTAAACACATGCAGGAAATAAGCAACTATCTTAGCCACTAATTACGTTCTGAATAACAGTTATATGGGCATTTACTCATTTTAGTCAAGGCCTCAAAATCCTAGGCTCAAGTTCGAAATCTAGTCAGGTTAGTTACATTCACGCCCCGCTATACTCTTGGGAAAGTTATGAATCCACCTCCTCCTCCCTATAGGTTAAATATAGAGCTCCTAATTATTCTTACAATCCATAATATGCTTCAGCTATAAATAAACCGAAAAAAACAAACAAACAAATCACTCAGTGGAGCCAATAAATAGTTCATAATTTTAGAGTTCCCAGTCAAGATAAAATTTATATACATTATCTAATTTTCGAGCTCATATCACGAAGTAGCTCTAATATATTTTATAACATTGGATTTGTAAGCGTGTCCACATCACTACCGAATGTAGCACAATGTCGAGGTTTAATGTGGGTTTAACAGCAACTATTTTATAGTATAAAACCCAATGTGACTATTGGTTACGCATCCTGATCCCCCCTACTTCTTTTGCTATGTGCCCTGTTTCTTCCATTGTCTCTTAGTGATTCTAAGTGTAAGTGTCCTTTTTGTTTCTATTTTCTCTAAAACTTCATCCTGGTTCACATCTTCCGTCCATGAATTTTCTCAGCATCCTTCTGTAGAACCACATCTTCATTGCCTCGAGTCTCTTCTTTATCGGCGAGGAAATTGTCCAACATTCACTATATTGACTTTTTTGTTGAGATAGTGCGGAATCCTGCTGTCATTCGATCTCCGATGACAGCTACTAGATACTTCTCATCTGATGAAGATTTAATAATCTATTTTGTAATATAAAAAACAACAAAGAACGAACAACATAACTTTATTTATCGGTTACACAGTCTTGTCTTCCCTACTTCTTAATGTGATTATTACATTGTTAACAGAAGGCATTACCCAACACCAATAAATAAAAATGTCTCCTGTTACGATAACAACTTAATTACTAACTAGGGAAGTTAATACTTTGCATTTTTTTTCTTTTGTTAACTCATAGGTTTCTTTAGGTATTTATTTTTTAAAATTTCAAAAGAAGAATTTAATCAAACTCATTATCTGTCCCAGAAGGATTTGGTACGTTTTGGCGTAGCCCATTTAGCGTGACTAAATCGGCGTCAGAAAAAATAATTGGATTCTTCGGCACAGCCGTTTAAGCGTCAGACTGTTTCGACGTCACTGTCTTTGACCGGAAGCAATCCCCACCCCCGCAAAAAAAAAAAAAAAAAAAAAGGATAAAAGCATTGAAAACACCCAACTTGATACAACTTTTTATTCATTTAGGGAATTAAGGATCCTATTAAAACACTAATGAAATAATGTAAATTAAAAACTCTATATGTAGTCCCACTTTAAATCGATCTTTCTGTTCACGTCGCTAAAACTTTAATTCAGGATCCCTCTTGCTCGTTGCGTCAGAAATAGCAAAAAAAAAGGTATCCATTGTATATTACTTTGTTTCTTCCACGCTTTGATAAAATGCTACTAAATGAGAGAGAGAGAGAGAAAGAAAGAGAGAGAGAACAAATTTGACTATAACGACGAAGTAGTAATCTGATGCCTAATCGTCCCTGTGCCGAAAAATTCTGATGTCGAATCGTCTACGCCAAATCTGCCACCCCGAATCGACCACACCGAATCAGCGACGCTAAATGGGCTACGCCGGAACGTCTCATTCCCGTCCCAGAAATTCCATCTCTCAATTTCTTATTGTAAGTATCCTTTTCCTTGTACCTATTATCCTTAAAACTTCCTCGTTCCTCACATATTCAGTCTATGACATTCTCAACATTTATTTGTAGAACTGCATCTCTTTCGTTTCAAGTCTCATTCTGATTGTAAGTATCCTTTTCCTTGTCGTTCCTATTTTCTTTATGGCATTCTAAGCATTTATCTGTACAACTACATCCCTTTCATTTCAAGTCTCATTCTTTTTTACTTTAAGCATATTTTAGTCAATATCATGATTAAGAAAATACTGGATAAGTGACATGACCCTGATTCATACATATTTCGATGGGGCGATTGTAGACGATGTTCGAGACTGGGTAAAGGGCAAGAATTTTAAATGCTGATTCTCAAGGTAGTTCTAACTTCTAAATGAAACATTGCCAGAATATAGATTGCACTCCTCATTTCTACTAGAACAAGTTTTAAAAATTTATCTTTCACTTCGAATTTTCCTCAAACGTACAATATCTCGAATACTTATAATCAGTAACCTTATCTTTTTGTTGAATTATAGGTACCCTAGTACAGTAATTCCTTCTAAAGATCGCATTGTCTTATTTTTAGAGACGGTATCTCCTTGTCGTTGATAGTGACGTTTTTCCGCCAAGTAAAAATAAGATGTGACATGAAAGAACAGTTCTGCCAGCTTGTACCGCCTTCGAACATTCGAAAGGTGTTTCGTTTTTGTTAAGGTTAATACTTAGAGTACTTGCTATTCCGAAATGGACCCTAAGAATATGGACCAACTTCAAAATTCACCTTAACTTCAGAGATCAAACGAGAACGAGATTAGACTGTAAGCAATACAATTAGGTGTCTGATTCTATATAATTACTTTTCCTAAGAGTGGTTGAAATAATTTTATGTCTTTATGAATTAAGCCTTCGAGCTTAATTGCTGAAATTGATAATCCTTAAGCTGCTTTATGAATTAAGCATTCCAGATTAATTGCAGAAATTGATATTCTTTAAGCTGCTTTATGAATTAAGCCTTCCAGATTAATTGCAGAAATTGATATTCTTTAAGCTGCTTTATGAATTAAGCCTTCCAGATTAATTGCAGAAATTGATATTCCTTAAGCTGCTTTATGAATTAAGCCTTCGAGCTTAATTCCAGAAAGTGATAATCCTTATCTTGCTTTATGAATTAAGCCTTCGAGCTTAATTGCAGAAATTGATAATCCTTAAGCTGCTTTATGAATTAAGCCTTCCAGATTAATTGCAGAAATTGATATTCCTTAATCTGCTTTATGAATTAAGCCTTCCAGATTAATTGTAGAAATTGATATTCCTTAATCTGCTTTATGAATTAAGCCTTCCAGATTAACTGCAGAAATTGATATTCCTTAATCTGCTTTACGAATTAAGCCTTCCAGCTTAATTGCAGAAATTGATATTCCTTAAGCTGCTTTGTCTTGAATTTAAGTAAATTCTTTTTTTCTATACATATCTCAAACTAGCCTCCACATCTTTTTATTACAATTCTTTGTGTGTGTGTGTGGGGGGTTGTGTATGGGGTGGGGTGCGCGCGCGCGTGTAATGATCTTCTAAGTAGGAATTCTTTCGAGCTAACATCGAGAGTACATGTCTCTCTCCGGATCATATACATTCAATACCACATCAGATCAAAGTTACCATGTGTAGGGAAGACTGCCAAATGCAAATCGTGTAACCTCACAGATGCATGTTGGTTTGCACATATAGGAACGCGCTA